ATAGTTATTAGTAATGATAATACAATACTATCGCTATACCCATTGTAAAATATTATAAAGGATATAAACGACCCTCTTAAGTCGATTACCGTTATTAATTTTCGTTTTAGAGTACTCCTCGACTAGAAATTGGCGTTTCCGGTTTCGGCGTCGTTTTTAATTAGATTAGATAAATTACTAATTATTATCATTTATAATATAATCGCCTATAATTGGGTTCTAGTTTGTGATTGGTCGAATAATATAATAAATAGGGTAAATAAATTGGTTAATAATAATAATCTTGTTCCCTATACTATATAACTATAGTGCTTTATTAATATAGGGTCCTTCTCTAATTCTCTGGAGGGGAAAACCGTACGGCGTTAAGCGCCGCCGGATGAAACCCCCCCAGTTAGGTTTCGGCTATAGGTTTCTACACCGCTCCTACTTTATTTATAATCATAATAATTCTTACCTATTATTATAGTAAATGAATTTCGTTTCTCCTATTACTATATTATCCTAATATTAAAATAAAAAAGAAAATAGGAATAGAATTTAAATTTGAAGCGTTGCCTTCCTTCGCCGTTTCTCTATTTTAATATTTACTACTCCTTCCCCCGCCCTCTCTCTACTTCCTTATCCTATTTTCCTATTCGCCTTCCTACTTCTCCGCTTCCTCACCTTATTTATAATTACTTCCGCCCCGTCCTTTTACTTCCTACCCTACAATTCCACTTCTATTTATAATAATGGAAGGACTTTTTCCTTTTTCTATATAATCCTCCCAATAATACCCCTTCCTAATTCCCTTCTTCTTCCTTCCCTATTATAACCTTATTTATAATGAGTAGCCCTCCGCACACCCACCCCATTCCCTACATACACCCAAAAACCCAAAATAGTGGGCCCAGACAGCCGATGACACCTGATATTGTAAATCCCGTTTTTACCCGCTAAATTTCGTCTTTTCAATGTACGTAACATCCCCTCTAACTTAGTCATTTCTTTCGCGCTCTTTTATACTGTTAATTACACCTATTTTACACGGCTAATTATCGTACATCGCAATACAACTATACAATACCCTTAACGTATATAATCTTACTTAAATTAATCGCCTTTAATTGTCTATAAATAATATTAATTACGCATATATACTAATAATTGATGAATACCGTTTCTAATTTCCTAGAATGCTCCTTCCTCGATGCAACCTTGCTATTATTGCGACTCGACCTTCTCGTTGTTTACTTTTGTAAGTAATTATACTTCTTTCGATAGTAATGCTAAGTAGATTGTCCCTTCTAAGAATAGCGCTTTTATTTTACTACCTAGCGACTTAAACTCTATAATAGTTAAAGTTATTAAAATATATTATTAGTATAGATTTAGGGTATTTATACTTTGGACCGATTATTTTAAAAAGGGATTATATACTAGCGAATTCTACTGCAAAGTCTTTCGATACGACCACGCCGAACCTATACCCAATACAAACGCTAACCCTTATAAAAAACGATGTATAACTACTTAAAAGATCGCCGATAAATATCCCTTCTATATTATAATATAATATTTAAAGAAGAACGATTATAAATATAGTATCCGGGTACTCGATCGTACACACAAAGGCCACCCTCTATCGCGAAACTTATTAAACTACTTAATCTACAAATAATAGTCTTTAAATACCCATAATTATAAAGATATTACGAATGTTCTTCGCTAACGGGAATTAACTATACGTACTATATATATAATAATTAAAGAGCGATACCCTAAGCTATTACTTATATATAAAGATTTTAAAAATATATAATAAAAGATATACTGATAATATGATAGGGGTTATATTAATATATAGGCATTCGTAGGTAATTTCAAGAATGATAAACTTATTATATTCTAGTACTACCTCTTTAATTACTATAAAAATAACGAAGGTTAATAAGAAGAGGAATTTAGTATACTATGGTATAGTTTCTAATATTTAAGGAAGTAAAAGAAGATATAGAAGTGATATTTATATATTTTACTATTTAATGCTATGTATAAAACGAATTGTTACTATATACTAATCATATAAAGCATTACAATTACCCTTAAAAAATTATTTATATTAGTCTTTTAAATAGTTATTAATAATAAGAAGGACGAAGGATTTAGTTAGCTTATTGATTATATTAGGAAGGCGATAGAGGAGTTATTAATCCTTAAGCCGTTAATTATTATTATTAATGGTGATAGTTAATTTATTAGAGTTATTGATTGAATCTTCCTAACCGTTTAATATTAATATTATATATAGTATATTAATTATAATGTAGTTAAGTACCTTAAGGATAATTAATAATATATAGAATTTGATAATAAGTAAAATAGAAATAATAGGGAGGGTAATTAGGAGTCTAAAGAGGAGGAGGATAGTAGTAATAAATCTAATAATTCAACCTTATATGTACAATAGTTATATCGAGAGCTAATCAATTAGTGTAATTATAATGACCTTAATTGACTATACTGTATATATTAAAAGGTTAAAATAATTATTAGAATATAGGTTAAGTTTGGTCCGCTTCCTAATAAGGTCGTTAATACGAGAGTAGGGTTCTTTTATGTATAGTAATATATAATTTACGCCCTATTAATAGTAGAGTTTATAAGCGCTTTATTATTTTTATATTGTTAATTTAGGAATGCCTAAGAAGCTATTATTAATTAAATTACAAATAATTTACTCCTTTGTAAGATTAAGTAGGTTGGTTGCTATATTAGGTATTATTTTAATTGTAGGTAGTGGACTATATTGCTGAGTAAATTTAATAATAGTTCTTTAAAGTTATATAGGTTATTTATTCGTAGTAGTCTAATTAATCTTTATTGAGCTAGCAATTAATATATAATACGCTATTATATTTATTTTAAGGAGGTTGTTACTAAGTTATTGTCTTGTATGTGTATAGATTGGATTGGGTACCTATGGGTAGGCAATATTCCTCTTAATATTATATTGTAGGTATATAAATTATTTATACGTTAATATAACTAATTAAAAGCTACCGTCCTTACTATAAATCATCCCGGTATACCTTTTAAATTATATATTAAGTAATTTAGAGTGTAATATAGTCTTCTTTATACCTATAAATTAATAGTAAAGAGGGAAGTTGGTAGAAGGGTTTTAATTATAAAGGATAATTACTATCTATTCTAGTATTTAGTTTAATAATAGGTAAAATTACTATTATTCTTCCTCTGGGCTACCCTTATACTAATTATTATATTAAGATACGGTAGATAGATCTCTATATCTTTAGTAAGCCGCTAAGGGTATACCCAAAGGTCGCCCTCCTAAATAGGGTAATCTATTTAGAAATAAAGCTATTCTACTAAGTACTTTATTAATTAGAGTAGCCCAAAATAAAAAAGTTAGTAAAAAGGTAGCGGCACCCTATAGTAAATTAAAAAATAGTTAACCTATACGAATATTAATATAGTGTAATTATTCCTAATATAAGGCGGGGCCTAGTATCGAGCAATTTAATATTTAAGACGAAGTACGTAGCTGTATTAAGGTTGCTAACGATAATAATAGTAATAATGAGTTAGGGAGGTATTGGGTAGCGAGAGTGCGAGAGTAGAGAACAAAAGAGTAGGGAGTTATTGAGGTATTATTAACTTCCTCGTCTAACGAAGTCTCTAAATTATTTAAATTATTAAATATTAATATTTAGTAATAGAGTACCATTGAGTCTAATCGTATGTAATTAGTATTGATTGAATAGAGCGTTTTATTACCATTAATTTGCTATAAATACTATAAGGATACTACTAGATTTGAAATAACTAGGTGTCCCAAAAATCTGACTAAGGTCCCAGACATACAAAACGAGTAAAATTACATATAAAACACGGTTATCTATATGCCAGCTGCCTTGGGGGTTTTTGGGTGTATGTAGGGAATGGGGTGGGTGTGCGGAGGGTTACTCTTTAAAATAGTTTCCTCTAACTATTATTACCCTAATCTAATCAATTCAATTTCTAATATAGAAATTTCCTCCCCTAATCTATCCCCGGGCTCTACAGCCCCAGCGTATTCAAAGTCCGTAGCTCTCCTTTATATCCTGTTGGTGGGTCTCTGGCATTCACTGAGCACAGCATTCACTGGGCCCAGACCCCACTCTGTGCCTTGCCCAGACCGCACCATATCTAGCCTTCCAGACTTTGCCAGTCTCCCTCTTTCTCCTCTATAACACTCAATCAATCGTATCTAACCGCTTAATCTCGTTAGTGATCCTACAGGTTATAAGCCCTCTCTAACCCTCCCTATGATTGTATTTAGACAAGCGATAAGCGTATCTTCAAAGCGCATTGTCGGCTTTAATTGCCAATTTCAATAAGGCGTTACAATACCGGGTTAAAAAAAGCAACTGCAACCTTTATTAATTTAACGACTCGCCCGCTCGCCCACAAGCTAGCTTCGCCATATAAAGATTCTCACTAATACTTATTATTTAGCGACCCCTCCATTAAATCAATTATCGATTCACCTATCGAACTAGTTATCGGTTCTATCAAATCTATTATCGAATTAAGTAATTCTATTATTAAATCAATCGGTAGTTAGTCTAGCGACTCTCACCCCTCTTTTCTTTTAAATACGTAATTTTAATTTAATAATCGTTAATATATTGAACCCTCCTATACTAATTATAATTACTAATTTATTGCTAGTTCCCCTTCTCGGTAATTAGAATATCGCCGACTAGTATTAAGGATTTATAGCCGAATTTAACTACTTTTAACTTGCTAAATATGTTTTCGAAACAATTCTAAAATCTAATAAGGTAATGGATCCTAAGAAATATAATATTTAATAGATTAGATGTGCTAATGCTAATAAAATTCTCCTCTCTACTTTTAAGACCCCCGCCGTTATTACGATTTTGACTGTTAATAAATAGGATAGAATTAATAGAGACCTTAAAGTTATGTATAATTTTATTTAATTTTATATTGCTTATATTACTAATAAAGCTCGTAATAAAGTCTTCGCCGAATATTTAACTATTAAACACACTAATTTTAATACTATAGCTTCTTTTTTTACTTATTATATTTTATTCTGTAAGCGTATTAAAAATACTAAATTCAAAATTAATAAGGATTTTAAAATTACCTTTCTTTACAATACTGTAAAAATTACTTACCTTATTAATACCAAATACTAAGTAACCGCTTTGGAGGTTAATGAATTAGATATTAATACTTTCTTAGCCAAACTCGGCAATATTAGTAATGTTGAATCCCGTACTAGCATTAATGTTAATATCTAGAAATCAACTAATAATAATACTAATAAGAATAATAACAATAATAATAGTAGTTCAATTGATAAGAAGAAGGATAATAAGAAGATCGATCATATTAGTTATAATAAGAAGATTTACCCTACTTAGAAATATATTTTTTATAGTCATTACATTAGCAAGAAGGCAGATATTTATTAGGTCTACTACTTTAAGAAGGTACCTAATACTTAGAAGCCTAAGAAGGATATATTGGCTAAGAAGGTAACTAACGCTAGTACTAATACCCTCGCTAATAATGCTTCAATTAATCTCACCACTCCCGCTACCACTATTAACTCTACCTTATTATATAAAGGCAGAATATTTATAGGCTTAACCAGCTTAAACGGTAGTAATATAGATTTTTGTTAGAGTCTTTAACTAATACTATTAAGCGTATTAATAGTACTTAGAATAGTAATTAATTAATCGATTGTTAATTTTAATTTTAATATACCTATAATGATCCCGTTAAAAACTAATAGGCTCTAAAGTAATATTTATAACCGGACAATATTTGTAATTTAATTATTTATAATTCTAATTGTATAAATAATATTTTTAATTACCTTAAATAGTTTACAAACATACAACCACTCCCCTACTTAATAATTTATATAATTGGCAATAGAACTTCGATTTATATCTACTATATTAGTACTATTAAATTGATTATAATTACTTTGAATAATATAATTGTTAAAATTAAAATTAAAAATTGCATTTATAATCCTTCTACCCCAGTGAATTTATTAATAATAAGAGGTTTTCTTAATAATAGTATAGTCTAGGATATAAAGATCAATTAAATCTCGGTATACGGTAAAGTTATAATATAATATAAATAAATTAACAATCTTCCAATCCTCTTAAGATTTACCTAGCTAAACTTTTTATAAAATGTTCGCTATACTATAATAGCTTTAATTAATTATTCAATAATATACCGTCGCCTTATATACACTAGCAAAAATCAGGTTCTTAAAGCCTATAAAGCGGCTAATATCAAATTAAGCAATACCTAAAACCATTTCTATAAAGTATATATTAAAATTAAAGCTTATAATATAATCCCTAAAATCGTTAATAAAGTGATAATTTAATTATTAAATTATATCTATATCGACATTGTTTCCTATATTCTCCCTAATTATAAAAACTACAAATATATAATTTATTTTATTGATTAAGTTACCGGCTTCTATTAGGTAAAGTTTATAGTTAATAAGGGTAATACTTTTATATAAATTAAAAAATTTAAGAAGTAGGTTGAGTTTCAAAGTAGTAGGTTCAAAATTAGGGCTTTTAGTCTTAATAGTAGTCTAGAGTTTGGCTTTAATACTAAAGAATTTCAATGAAGTAAAATAATTGATTAGGTATGTATAGAAGGTGTAGAATTATTAAAATTAATACCCTATACCCTATAGATGTAAGGAAAGATTGAGAGAGTTAGTACTATTATTATATAACGCGTTAAAACTCTAATAATAAACTTTAATATCTTAGAACATTTATAGCTATTTATAATAAACTATATTGTTAGAATTCTTAACCTTTTACCTTCAAAAGTTTATAATAGTAAAAGCCTATAGGAATTACTCGCTAATATAACTAACTTCCTAAATAAAATCAAAAAGCTATATCTTAAATACTTAAAATCTTATTTTTATATAGCCTACTACTTTATTAAATTTTAAAAGCAACCATAAAGCGATAAATTTTGTATTAGAGCTTAGAAAGGTTATTTTATCGGTTTTAATGATATCTACGGTCGTATTATATTTATTTGGAATTCTTATATTAGCGAAATTGTTAGAGTTAGTACAATAACTTTTCTTAAGGAGGATCTAGTCAACTACAAAGATCCAGTCCGTAGTAGTAATAGTAATGTTATTGAATATTATATTATTCTTTCAAATTAAATAATTGATAAAATTAATAAAGTAACAAATAATACCTACTAGATCTAAATTAAGGTTAAGGGTACAATTCTATAGTTATATTCGTAAAAAGCAATAAAATTAACCTAATAAACGATTGAATTATTAAAGTAGGAAGCTAAGATATAGGAGATAATGATTATATTACCACTCTCATTAAAGGTTATACTAATACCCTTAACCGTAATAATTACTGTAACTACTCTAATTAACCCAATTACCCTAATTAATTCGACTATTCTAATCGCCTCGATAACTCTAATAACTACGGCACTTCCGCCGAATATACCAATTAATATAGTACCGCCAATATTACTATCACTAACCCCAATTCTAGTACCGAACTCTCTAGTGCCCTTATTGCTAGACCCGCTATAATATTAACCGTCAACCTCGCCGGTTAAAGAGACTATCGAATATAATAACAACCTTCTTAATTTTAAAAATCTTAATAAAAAAGACCCTATACCCCGCGACCGACGCAATTCTAATAAGTTGATTGTATATACTACTCTAGGTACTCCGCTGCCCAATAACCTTTAATAATTAGTTTTAGTAGCGCGATTGCTACCGATAGGTATATTGAACCCCGTTCGTACGTAATAATATACCCTATTACTAACGTTGCGAATAAGTAAACTATAGTTTTAACTAAAGAACTAAGAGCAATAAGCCTCGAATTCGCAATAGGCTATTCCGAATTTGAACCCTCCGAACCCGAATTCGGGCCCTCCGACTTCGAATTCGAATATTCTAAACCTGAATTCGGACCCTACAAATCAATAATCTACGCAAGCCTAACTAGGATAGGGAAACCAATCCTCTAAATTTAGTATAAAAATATTAAATATAGAGGTAAATAAAGGTAAACTTCGTCGATTAATAGCCAAGCTAATAAATTTCAAATATAATATTTAAAGGGTAAAAGATAATAATAGTAATATAATTTAAAATTTAGTAGACTTACCCAACAATTTCTATAATATAGTAAAGGGACGTTTAATTAAATATATACCTATCTACTACCTTACTACTATCAAAGTTAATTATAATATAATAACTATCGCCGTTAATAAAATTCAACGTTTTATCCCTAAAAATTATTAAATTATATATAAGTAAAGTAACTTTAAATTATATTAATTACTAATAATAAAAAAGTAAATCAAAGTATTCGAAAATAGGGGAATCTATACCCTAATTCCCAGATCTCTAAATATAGAGGTTCTACCTAGAAAGTAGGTATATAATAAGAAGTACGATATCGATACTAAAGATTGGAAAGCTAGAGTTAAATAGGTAGTCTATAGAAATTTCGAATAAAGTAACTAGGCAATATAAAAAATCTATATAGCGGTAGCCTATTTGGTTAATATTAGATTATTCTTAACAATAATAGCTATAAACGACTATAAATACTACCAATTCAATTTCAACACCACTTTCTTAAATACCTCCATTCTCAATGATACCCAATACTACGTTAAATGACCAACAATATTTAAAAAGGCTATACCCGGTTACAATAAAGAAAACATAGTATACTAATTATTAAGGTATTTTACGGTTTTAAATATTCTCTACTTTACTAATTTAATACCCTCGTCCTAATATTTAAAAAAGCTAAATTTATACTAGTCTCTACAAACTCCTACTTATTTACTAATAAAACGTTAGGTATATTATTAATTCTATATATTAACGACCTCTTTATCGCCGCACCGACTATAACTATTGTTAATTAAATTAAAGACTAGTTAACTAACCACTTTAAACTTAAAAAATTGGAACAAATCCGTACCTTTCTAAATTATAATATTATAAAGGATCGCTAAATTCGTACAATCTTTATATCCTAATAATAATATACTAAATTAATTATCGCCAAATTCAACAACGGCAAGACTAAACTCCACGGTATTAAAATACTATAGCCACCGGATTATAAAATCTATAGGAGTAACAACGTATTACTAAACAAAGCCAAATCTTACTCTAAGAAAACTAACTCATTAAACTAACTATTAATAAATACCCAGCTAAATATTGTATTTACTATTAATAAATTTTCGAAGGGTATTAAGAAACTAACCGACTATTATCTCGTCGTTATAAAACATTTATAATAATATCTATCCAAATACCCCAACTTAAGTATTAAACTAAGTAGCATACTTTCACTATTAATAGCCCCATCCTTCTATACGTATGTAAACACCTCCTTTACCAACGATATTCCTTCAAGGAAGAGTACAGCTAGCTATATTGTATTCTTTACTTATAGCCCTGTCCTTTAGAAGTCTAAACGGTAGGATTTTATTACAATTAGTATAATAAAGGTAGAATTTACAAATCTAATTCTAACGGCTAAGGCTCTCGATTAGATTGGTAGTATACTTAATAATTTAAATATAAACCTAGGTTTCCACAAGATTAATAAAATTCTTTACATAAATAGTAATAACGTTAAAGACCGGATTCTTAACTCCAACGTCCTAGCTAGGAATCGATATATTGATATATAGTATAAATAATTAATTTAAGAGGTAGACAGGAAGGCATTCACAATCAAGCACTTGCCGGGTGACGAAATGCCAGCCGACAGTCTAATAAAGCTATTAAAGCTAGATAAATACGCTAGATTTATCAAATTGATAGGTATGGTCGAAAAGAAGGTTCCCTAGGCTTGAAATATCGTTAACACTATGAAAGATATCCTAATCTAAATAGTATATAGAGGTTTAGACACTCTTTGGCAGTCTTCCAGTCTATGGGGGTGTGTTGGTGGGTCTCTGGCATTCACTGAGTACAGTATTCACTGGGCCCAGACCCCACTCTATGCCTTGCCCAGACCGCACCATATCTAGCCTTCCAGACTTTGCCAGTCTCCCTCTTTCTCCTCTATAACACTCAATCAATCGTATCCAACCGCTTGATCTC